TATTAGTGGTAATATCGTCTATAATATGTGTACATTTCTGTATCTTGGTAGGACTTCATCAAGGCTAAGCGTTTGTTCAGTGGTGTTCCTGTATGGACAGCCCATAAGCGTCCTCAAGAAGAACATGAATCTCGTAGGAATTACGTAAAGAATTATTCTCCAATGTAACAAGTAATGGGACTTTCAAAACAATCTCGATGCAGAAGCTTATTTAGAATTAGATATTACTTCTATTCACTACATGCATTTCTATTCTATTTTTATTCAGCCAATCATGAACGAGAACATGGTCGTCAGGTTGTTAGCATATAATGTGAGCTCATGATTATTAATAACAGCTCAATCTTTGCAAGGACACATTCATTTTCATTCTTCAAAATTTTCTTTTCAATTGTGTGGCAGATTTGTCTTTTAAAGCATTATTATTTTGGTGTAAAGTGCTCGTGTTATAAATACAAATCATGAATAAAAACTATTTCTGTATAGTTACTATTTTCTGTGGAGACTAAACTGATCATTCCATTTATAAATTGCATTTTTTTTATAGTTTAGTTTTTTTCCCTGCCAGCCTATGCTGGTGTTCTTGTATTTCTCATATGTCAACAAATAAAATGGTTATGGGAATAATAATTCTATTTTTGACTCCCATGTGCGAAGCACAAAATGGGAGTCTTTGCAGTTAGTGTGTCTGTGTGTGTGTGTGTGTGTGTGTGTGTATGTATGTGTGTCCGACTGTTCCACTGCTATCTCAAGAACCATACATCGGTTTTTGATGAAACTTGGTGCATAGATGCTCTGGGCCAATGCGCAGATTTGATTAGGTTTTGGTAAAAATCCATGCTCGTTAATTACCTAATTTGCATGATAATTAGCTAATTGTTAGCTGTTCTATGACTGTTCCACTGATATCTAAAGAACCACTCATTGGATTTTGATGAAACTTGGTACATAGATGCTCTGAACATATGCGCAGATTTGATTAATTTTTGGTAAAAATCCGTGCATATTAATTACCTAATTTGCATGATAATTAGCTATTTTTTAGTGGTTCCATGACTGTTCCACTGATATCTAAACAACCACTCATTGGATTTTGATGAAA